TTTTTTTTTTTTTTTTTTTTTTTTTTTTTTTTTTTTTTTTTTTTTTTTTTGGTCAGTAATAGTTGTTTTCTTCATGGAAGGCCAGGCTTGCATTAAAATGTATATAAGTTTTTAGATCTCAATAGAGAAAGAAGTTAAATTTTGATTAATCAGTAACAACAAGAAGCTGAACACACACACACTTTTTTTCTTATTTCTTTTATCTGACATTCATCTCTAACTAATCATATTGATGTTTATTACCATAACAAAAATAATGCATTATAATGGGCATCATTGGGTGCTGTGCAAACCTAAGACCAAGTGCTTGTATGAATCATATCTACAGTATGGCCATGGAAGTAGATTCCTTTAGCCTTTGATATTTATTTTCAGTTGATGAAGAAATAAGATGTCACTCATTTCATCCAATTATAATAACTCCACTTGGAGAAAATTAGAATTTCCATTTTGAGTGTAATAAACATTAATGTAATCTTAAATTATTACTTAACATGATAGGTCAAATTCATTCCTAGTGTAACTGCATAGCTTCATCTTATGGAAGCCAAAGGATAAATTCACCAGGGATGAATTTAAAACCAATATGTATTGGACAGGTGGAATTTATAGTTAAGTGACAAAAGACAAAAATATATTATTACATTATTGGTTCCTGTTTAACTTACTGTTACCAAAGACATTTTGGAATATACAAGTACAATATTAAAGGTTCAAAAAACTTTTCACATTGTCATCCATGATCTAGTCTACAAAGAATAAATGATAGTCTTGAAAGACTTTTGCTTATTTGTATAACAGCCATACAAGAAACATTCTCTGTAGTGCCAAGTAATTGATAATATTGAAACTGTAAAATTTTAAAAATCCTGGGCTTAACCTCCAGGTGAAGCAGAGCAATGCTTGGTGCACCTGGGAAGGGCAGGGCCATGGGTGGCTTTACATCAGTTTTCAGCCTCTCCTGAAGACTTAGGGACTGCTGGGGGCTGACCCACCCTTGCACAGGATAGAGAACTGCTGTAACAGACTGACAGTATCTTTCTATATTCTAAGTAAACTTTATTGAATTAATTTAAACCTTAATGAATTAGGTTTAATACCTTTGTGTACATTGTATTAAAAATGCCATAGTGTATGTTTATTGTGGAATTATATGTACCTTTTCTAGTAGGGAGGGGAAATGCTAATGTATTTCCTCTGTTATCATCCCTTTGAAGCTACCCCTCTGGAGAGGTTTGCATAGACCAGTTCAAATTGGATTCTCTAGGGGCTAACAGACAAAGAAAGGGGTTTTGGATAAATAGCCTAGTTTTAAACTGGCTCAGGCATTTCATCCTGAACCAGCAAATGGACAAGACCCCTGGTCCACAGAGGACCCCAATCCTTAGAGTAGGGTTGGAAGGTCTGGGTGCTTGTTCTGAGCTGGAGCTGTGATGAATATGTAACCACAAGGAATCTCCTTGGGTGGGGAAGCTGAAGGAGTGCTCTTGCCAGAATCCCTGTTAGAGTGAACTGTGGTAAACATATTAGTATGTGTGTAGGGTCTTTTATTGTTTTTAATATGTTTTCTCTGAAATGCTTTTTACCTTAAGAATAAAGTAGACTTGCATAGGAAGTGCTGTGAGTTAACTTATAAGTGTAGCAATTACACCTGTTAACCATCTATAAAGAGAAAGAAAACAAGTGTGTGAGCAACTCTGTGCTCGGAATAACACAGTGAAGGCAGGAATGCATGTCTCCACTCAAGAGAGGCAACAGCTTGGAAGTTGGAAGCCTGAGAGTGGATGCCCTTCCTGGACCACTGGTGAAGTTGCCCTGAGCTGTGACAGCTGCTAACTTGTTGGCAGATAATGGTCCTCACTCCTCAAATCCCCATTGTGCTCTGGCCCTGCCTTGGAATGGTCCCTGTGCTGGTGCTAGAGGGATGGGCAAAGTTGAGGTTTACCTTAGACTAAAGGAACCATCTGTAAGTCTCCTTTGCACTGCTGAATCAGCAAAAATGGGACAGTAGAGCACCCAATTTGAAGCCAATGGGCCTTGCATGCAAGATTATATTAAGTACATGCTTAAGTGCGTTTCTGCATCTGAGCTTCAGTCTCTTGTGAGATGTCATAATATCACTAGTTTTCTAGAGTAGACTAAACTTGAATTTCCTACTTCAAACAAACAAACAAACAAAGCAAAAAAGGGAACAGCCAATTTTTTTCTCCTGTGCAGGTTAATTTTAGTGCCAACTTTTGTTCCTTTGGTCCAATATTAATAACACAGGGCTGAGCTTTTCTCACTGATGAATCTGAAGCCAGCCATGAGGACAAGAGGAATGATGCATCACTTCAGAGAATTACTCAAAGATTTTTCTTTCTAGTAATAGCATTGGGCAGTTTACCCATTTTTTACTAAAATAATAATAATACATTAAGCTAACCCTGTAATTGGGTTATAAAAGGCAGGTGAAAAATATAGTCATATAAAAATCTTTTATCAACTATTAGAATAAAGTCTGTTGTTAAAGAAAAGAAGAAAATCCCAATTGATGAAAGGCTAAAAACAGGAAAGTCTCCTGTTTATCTCCCAAGTTCAAATACCACCCTGAGATCCAGAGCAATGTTATCCTCCATTACATATGTAAATAGTTGCACCTTGATTGGTTCCAGTGAGTTCCATGTATAACACTTTCTTATTAAAGCTGGACAATCCCCTCTTCTCCTCTAGTTCAGGTTTGTGTGGGGTTTTATGACTCCAAACTGCCAGATCCAGTTCACACTGTTTTTCATCATTTCAAGCCCTTGAGGTTTGCTTGTAGTATGAACACTCTGTCTCTCCCAATACAAGAGCCTCCCCCGCCACCCCTTACTTTAAAGACTTATTGGGGAGAGGGGCCAGGCCAGTGCTCTACAATCCCCTCTTCCCCATCTAATATTTCTGAGGCACTGACTGGCTTATTTATTATGTCTGGCATCTTCAGGTGCTGTAGATGGCTGCTTCCCCAACTTTAGTCTTCAGGGGACTGCATTATATGTGCTTTATACCTCCTCATAGCCTGGCAAGGGTCTTTTGAAGGAGCTGTACTGCATCCTGAATCTGAGTCAACCCTCTGAGCCTTAATTCCACTTGGCAATTCCTTCTTTATACCTGGGTTGAATTTTGCTTTCACAATGAAAACCAAAATGAGTTGAAACTCTAGTTGGCTTGGAATTTTCTTGCCATCATTTTGCACCATCCTGTTAATCAGTGACCCAAATCTAGTTAGTGTGTCCAAATCTCAACTGCCTGATAAGAATCCTAATAGGTGACAGGGCCACCCGGGGGAGGGGGGGGAGGGCGCGGACGTGGAGCAATTTGCCCCGGGCCCCGCAGGGGCCACCACAAGAATATCGGAGGCTCCCCCCTGCCTCCACCTTTCCCCATCCCCCGGCGCCTCAGCGCGCCGCGTCCAGGAGCGGCCCTGGACAGTGCTGCAGTGGCGTGGCTCCGGCAGGGCCTGAGGTCCTCCCGCTTGGAGCCACGTGGTAAGGGTGAGGGGCTGCGAGCTCCTGGACACGGCTCGCTGAGGCTGGGAGAGGGGGTAAGCGGCATGGTAAGCCACTCTGAGCTGGGCACCCCCCGACCCCATCCCTTCCCATCCCTGACCCCCAGCTCTGAGCCCAGCCCCTCTGAGCCAGGCACCCTCCGACCCCCAGCTCCAAGCCCAGCCCCTCTGAGCTGAGCACCCCCTGACCCCATCCCCCCCCAGCCCTGACCCCCAGCTCCGAGCCCAGCCCCTCTGAGCCGGGCACCAGCTGACTCCTAGCTCCGAGCCC